GTCTTCTTGTACTCCCTGACGGGAGTCAGTTCTGCGTTATAGTGGACGAAACGCGGAACCTTCCTTCCCGCGAAAGTCAACACAGCTACGTTGGAGTTCCCAAGCTTGCGCGCATAGACTAGTTCACCGCCACGCCACTGCACACTATGTTTCAGAGACGCACTGGTTTCGAGGTTGTGCACAGAAATCACGCCGCGACACACATCACCGGTGAGCTTGAGGTGACCGCGAAGCGGCAGCGGTCCTTTGCTGGCGTTGATTTGAAAGTCCGACAGCAGTTTCTGAGCCACCTCGTTATTCTGCGTGCCACAGATGATGATGTTTTGCTCCCAATTGGGAGAAATGCTGATGTCATTCATGTGCTGCCTTCCGATGAGTTGGGAAATGGCAGCGCCGAGCTCACCTTGTTGAAACGCTGCCTTGAGGGCTACTGTGATGCGTGGCTTGAGCACGATCACGTAGTCGCCAGGATTCATCCTGACCGTTGGTTTCGGCGTCCACTTGGAGACTGGTGAAGTCTTTTGTGGAGCTTTAGGAGATGGAGCACGAGCGTCTCCAGTGGCTGAATTGTTGAGAGGAGTTTTTAGTGCAGACGCTCCTTCCGCGTTTCTTCGGCGGCGACGCCGACCCTCGACGAGTTGAAAAATGTCGGCTTGCTCCGCCGAAATGGTAGATGGGCCGTCGTCTGATGGATTTGTCGGGATATACGACCACGACAGAGTCGTAGGGTCGTAGCCACGTAGTTCAGGCAGCGCCATGTTGAGGAGTTGACCGAGCGGCGTCTCCGCATCCAGCAGCGGCGGAGCCGCCGCCGTGAGGCTTAGCTCGTTCGCTACGTTGTGATGCAAAGTTGCTCGAAGTGGCCGAAAATTGGGCGTACCTGGGTGAGATCGGTGTCCCCAGAATCTTGCTGACTTGGCAGATGCAGTCACACAAGTTTTAGAGCAGCCACATTGAAGAGAGCACGGTTCCAGCCGAAAATCGACGGAGCCGATGAGCGTCGCGTCCGATCACTTCGCGAAGCGCCCGCGTCTCTCTCTTGCTACCACGAAGCGCACAGCTATATTTACACAGACTCGTGAGCGACCGAGCGAACCGTCATGACGGGTTCGGTTTTCTCTGCTGCCAGTTTCACAGACAAAAAAATTTGCAGGTCCCACGTACAATTGGAATTGATGATGTGCGAAGGACGGATGAGAATGGTTGATATGTGACTTTAAAATCAGCATTACATTGCGAGGTGGAGGTAAATGATTCCGTACATGACTTCCATGTCATGATTGTCATGTTTGAGTGTGTCGTTTACCTTCGTAATCTATTCTCGTCACGTGAGACTAAATTTTGTATATATGGAGCTAGCGAAATGGCTGCGAGCACGCTATGAGTGTGGGGTCTTGTCACGCTCTTACATGTCACGTGTGTCACGATTATCATGCTTGCGCACACCATACTTTGGTCATTCATTGACGTCACGTAACACCAAATTTGGTATATGTGGAGCTAGCAAAACGGCCCCGAGCGCATCATGAAGGGCCCAATATGCTCCAATGTAGCGTTCCCGCGCGCGCACGCGGGGCACAGCGACGCTACGTTAGCAAAACGCGAGCACTCCATAGTCTGTCGCATGACGCGACCAGCGTCCGTCGGCGCGGCCCGACGGCAAGCGGCGTGAAACGCGACATGTTGCATTTTGCGCCCATGCGTTACCCAGACCAACGCCTCCTCTAGACAGATGCCTGAGGAATGGCTCGCGCTCCCAGCGGAGTTGGCCTGCCTTTAGTTTTAAAAAAGCTCCGCGCGGTAGCGCTCGCGACCGACACTATCATCACTGCGACGGGCGATGATACCACCTAAGTGTTTTTCATCTGCGGCCCATAGGGGCGCGTTAGTCGGGAGTTGTTGGAGACCTGTAACTGTGCACTACTATTTCGGAGGCTATGCAAATTGTTGCGTTGTTGCACCGTCCGCCACAAATGACGCTAGCGACCGAAAACATTTTTAAATTGAAGGAGGAAAAGAGTGTGGCAGCTGTTTTTTTTTTCTCATGCGGCAGGCATCTTCCTTGAGGAGGCGTTGCCCAGACACACCGTGCCCAGACAACACTGCGTCTCCCTCTTTTCGTGACGGAGGGAAGCCTGTACGCGATGAAACGCGCATGCGTCAAAGCAACGCAGCGCTGCGCACCCCTGCGACTATATACAGGACCGGCGCCTGGCGCGGCAAAGCCGGCGTGACGCGATGAAATGAACGCCGGCGAGCACGCGCACCGCGTCACGTCGAAATGTATTGGCGCCTTGACTGTGGCATGTAGTCATGTTCCCACATGACATGCACCTCATGATTATCGTGTTTGCACCAGTCACACACCTTCGTCATCCATTGACGTCACGTAATACCGAGTTTGCTGCATGTGAAGCTAGCGAAACGGCCACCAGCGCATCATGAGCGTAGTCATGTAATCACGACATGACACGCATGTCGTGATTATCATGTTTATATGTGTCATTTACCTATGTCGTCCGTTCGTGTCGCGTAATGCTGAGTTTGGTACATGTGAAGCCATCGAAACGGCCGCGAGCACATCATGAGCGTAGCATGTAGTCATGTTGCTACATGACACGCATCTCATGCTTATCATGTTTGCACCAGTATCATACCTTTGTCATCCATTCACGTACCGTAATACCAAATTTGGTATAAGTGAAACTAGCGAAACGGCCGCCAGTGCATCATGAGCGTGGCATGTAGTCATGTTGTTACATGACACGCATGTCATGATTATCATGTTTGCACCCGTCACATACCTTCGTCATCCATTCACGTACCATTACATCAAAGTTGGTATATGAGACGCTAGCGAAACGCCCGTGAGCGCATCATGAGCTTGGCATGTAGTCATGTTGTTATATGACACGCATGTCATGATTTTCATGTTAGGGATCCGTCACTTGTGTTCGCCACGCAATCACGTCACACCATACGAGTTTTGCAACATGCCATGTGAACGAAACCATCGCAAGAGCTGCAGGACCATGAAATGTAAAACATGACATTCATAACTTCCATGTCATGATTTTTATGTTATGACTAGTCAAATGTGTTCTCCATACAGTCATGTTATGCCATACCAAGTTTGGTATTGATACTATATCGAAACGGCCAGGAGAGCTAAACGTCGTAGGCAGCTAGATAAATAGATACGCGCAAAATCACCGAAGTTCGCTAAGAAATGCTTCGCATTTAAAAGCGCATCATCTGGTTCCCGGCACACGTTTGACCAACTCGTACATGGCGCACTCCCGGGTGCGAGATCTAACATATTCCACGTCAGTGAAAACCACTGAGAGGCTGAGGACGCGCTTCGGTATTACCGAGATCCCCTCCTAACCTTTCGTGAAATTTTCAAGCACCATCAATTGGAACGGCGAGGGTTCCCATCCCGCATCCGACCCTAAAATGAGCTCACTCTATCACGTTACGCCAACTACAGACTTAGGCATACGCTTCTCCCTTTAAATGTTCTAAAAAAAGCTGTCCTCGCTGTAACCCACGTTGCACTCTAAAACACATGCTGTGCAGTATCCTGCACTGCGCGAGAGCCCCATGTCTTCCTCAACGCAGAGGGGACTTCACAAGCAACGAGAAGGAAGACATCTACGAGCTGGAGAGCCCATGACATGGCCGAGGAGTTGCATCTCCCCGTTCCGTCATGGTGCGGCCCCTTGATGTTAACCCTCAAGGGGAAAGTGAGCGTCGTCCCCGGATCAAAATAAAGTAATTTTGTCTGGATGCCTGTCTACGAAGACGTAGAGTCAGCAATTAACAAAGTAACGACAGAGTACACTGACCAATTGCTCCAGGACAAACATCCCCGCAGGTGGTCTCATGACAAAAAATCGCTGTGTCAGCATGTTTTTGCATTTACAATAACTGTTCAAGTCTACGTCACACATAGGCGTGCACACGAGGAGGGCAGGGGGGAGGGAGGCGCCGCAATCAACCTTCGCCCCCCCCCCCCCCCCCTGAAGGGGAACACCGTGCGCATGCTTAATGGCGCCACATTATTATCAGGGGATACCCTTTTCCGAACACATATCTACCTTCCAAGGAAGACCCCCACCTCAAACAAAAAAGTTGTTTGATCCCCCTTTCCCTACGCCTCCCCTCCCATTTGTCCTTTCCCTTTCTTTCTTTCTTTCTATCTTTCTTTCTTTCTTTCTTTCTTCCTTCCTTCCTTCCTTCCTTCCTTCCTTCCTTCCTTCCTTCCTTCCTTCCTTCCTTCCTTTCTTTTTTCGTTTTGTTTGCCATATGCACTTCAATTCAGGAGTGCATTCTTTCTGATGTGTCTCCGTCCCGACTCGGACGCATGTCAACACGTGTTGGCGTGTCACGATGTAGGTGCTGTCAACTTGACGCATATGACGGCATATGACGCGAAGTGCACGCAAGTCAGCCCCACGTCAACAGGTGTTCGGCGACGTCAAGGGGTATTTGAACTCCTTCACGCTTTATGCCAGAATATACCTACACTTTTTTATTTCTGTCCCATACTAACCTCTTGAGTCTTGACACTCTGCAACTCTCTCTCGCCCCGCCGCGGTGGTCTAGTAGCTACTCGCCTGCTGACCCGCAGGTCGCGTGATCGAATCCCGGTTGCGGCGGCTGAATTTCTGATGGACGCGGAAATGTTGTAGGCCCATGTGCTCAGATTTGGGTGCACGTTAAAGAAACCCTAGGGGGTTGAAATTTCCGGAGCCCTCCATTACGGCGTCTCTCATAATCAAATGGTGGTTTCGGGACGTTAAACCCTACATATCATCAATCAACAACTCTCTCTCCTTTTCGAATTTTTTTTTGTTTCCCTGCAGTGCACGTCATGGGGAAACGCTAGGCACGGAACGTTTCCCTAGCTAGGTAGAATCTGTTCAGTGAGTCTGGCAACGCTGCGCCAGCCGAAATTGTGCGGTTTTCTCTCGGCTCCCGTGGTCGTCGCGTCGTATGTGTGTGTTGTGGTGGTGTTGTGACATGCCGTAGAAAAAGCGGCTACACGGGTGACTCGCATTCGCGGTACCGTATCGTACACCGTTCGCGGCCCGTGCCCAGTCTGCTTTTTTCCGATACACGAACTGTGCGAAACGCTTGTGCTGACACTTTGTGTGATGCCAGCCGTACTCTTGCTCCGGGATTGCTCGCCGTGAGGCGGCCGCCGATCGTCCGGTAAACGGCAGCACTTGCACGATAACGAGGGCACCTCCGATCAACAGCGTTCGACGCGAAGCTGGCTGACATGGAGAACTGCAACGCAGAAGGTGAGATACGACGAAGCATGTTCGCGAAGCTTCCCGATGTGTCGTCCGGACTTGTCGCGCCCGCATGACAGCCCGCACGGTCCGCATTCATAGCGCGTCCTGCGTCGTTTCGAAGCTCGTGTTTTCGCGCTTATCTGGGTGTCTCCGTGTGTGAGGTCTCGCGCATCCTCGCAGCTTCTCTGTATTCGTTATTGTGGAGATCACAAAAGGGCAGCAAGGTCTAGTCTCTTCGATCGTCCAACGTTCGAATGCGGAAATAGAGCTGCCCGCGCGAGCGGTATTTTCGCGCCCGTTGACATTTCCAGTTTCTTGAGATCTCGCGATACGCGGTGCTTTATGGAGGCACCAGTTAAAGGTAGGTTTTGCTTTCGCGATTCGAGCATTGCAGCGGTTGCAGTAAACTATGCGGTGATGGTCCTATGAAACGTGCACGTTTTAATATCGTGGTTTTTTTACGTTGCTGGTTGTTTGTTCGAAGGCGTGTCGCTCTGCTCCCGATTTGAAGGCGCGTTTGCTTTTTGGCGCAGTGCTCCAGAGCAAGTTGCGAGCGCTATAAACACTAACAAGTTTTTTGCTTCAATACCATTGAAAAGTTGTGTTTAGCCTGCTCCTTCAGGGTTGCATCGTTGCTGCAGGTAAACGTAGTCTTTTCTTTTTATGACATATAGTTCAGTCAGTTGAGGCTGCGATGTTGAGAAATCGGTAACGGACACTTCGTTCGTGATATGCTAGTTCCGACATCGGTACATGGCCTGACAGCCCTCGTCACTTAAGAAACCGTCAGCGGTCTTAATAAAGGTGTTTACTACTACTACAGCGCCATACGATTGCCTGTACACTTTTTTTATATATTTCATGGTATTGTTGTGCAGACGTTCGCTTACAAAAACATTTTTTTTTTCTGGACGCATCCATTTCACACCATTTTATCGTCGAATTGCCCTGTGTACATGTTTGGGACACGTAGTTCATAAGCAAGGAACTACTTTATACAAATTCGTCGTTGATGATCATGTATTGTCCCAGTGGCCATTGATGGTCTCGGTATTTGTACAACGTACTCATATCTCAGTGTCCCCATCCCAGCTCATGCAGGACTGTTTTGAGAATGTTGTCATTAGTCATTAAAGGCGTGATCATTTGTACATACACTAAAAAAAAAAAAAGGCGCGCTGAAATACCTTGTTTTTTTTTCCTGGCTATCTCAACCTGCCAGAAATAGGTGATGGAGTAGGTAGAGTGCCTAAACAGCAAAAAAAAAAAAAAAAAAAAAAGGTACAAAGATCGATCAAATGGTATAAACTGGAGTGTTTGTGCAGCCACGATTGGTGGAGTCCGATGCCCATCTGTATGAATGCGCGGACTTTTTGCAAGTCTGCGATGCTTTCGGCAATAAAAGGGGTGTGGTCTGATTCACTGCTCCGAAAAGGCTTGCTCTTTCCTCTAAATACGTTTCTCTCATGCATAAAAATGTATATTCCTTAATACTTCATTGACGCGCGAAAAAAAAAAAAAAATGTCTTGGCGTAGCGAACTATTGTGCCCGCAGAGTATCTGTAAATCGTGATTTTATTTTCATCAACGATGAACTTCAGCTCCTCCTTGCGTAGTGTGGAACGTCCTATATTGATTTAGTTTACTCGTTTTCATTTACTTACGTTACCCTGAAATTTTGTTTCTTTCATGCGATTTGACTTGCAAAGAATAAAAAAACTTCTGAGATTTGGTAGCAGCGCAGAAGGTATGATCGTTTTATGAAAAGCAATAAAAAAAACGTGTCCCGTATTTTTTTTCGCTGGTGAAACCTTAAGATGTGTTGATTTGGAACATACTTATTTAATAATAAAATTGCGGAGGCGTATGAAATGCCATTTCTCTTTCTCCCGCATCAATTACACGAGCAGTTTTGCGAGAGGTCCGCAACGCGGTGTCACACGGCACATCTGCTTCCCAACTCTTTTCTCCTAACTTTGTATAAGTCTTGTTGGTGTCGCCGACGTCCCGTATTATATATAACTACGGAGTCATCACGCTCTTACAACACCGTGTCTGCTCCAGACGTATTGCGTCATTGAACCGTATACTCGCGCCGAGCTGCTCTAGAATGCAAGCTGTGTTGCGGCGCTTGAAGAGAAGTTTACACAACGCGTCCCCGTGTTTACGGTTGTTGAACATCTCGCAGGATCGGCGAAAGCGCATTCAACTTTTTCGGGCTTGGCGCCAGGGCCGAAGGTTCACACATGGACGCGAGCAATGGTGGGTGGGGCCAGGCATAGAGTTTCTCACAATACTTACTAGAGGGAACTCTGGCGCTAGTGTCTATGGAAGCTGCAACACACGGCGCTTCAGCGAGCATGGGAATGACGGGTAGTACACACGTTTGTCTAATTTTCGTACTTCTGGCCTGCTTCTGGCTCCGTGTGTATTCGTGTGGCTTGAAGCTGTTTTTTTTTTCATGAAAACATAAATGAGCAAATAAATGTTCACCGTTTGCGCCTCACAACCTCATTCTTTTAGGCTTACCATTTTGAATCAAGTCACTAAGTTCAAAAGGGTTCGTTCTTTCTTTCAAAAACAAAACCGTAACCAGTAATAAACAAAGCCGCAAGTACGATTCGCCGCCCGCAAGTACGAAGACTAGGCAAATGTGTGTACTACCCATCATTCCCATGGTCGCTGAACGATCGCAGCGCCACAGTACCCTCTAGTTAATTTTGGGAAACTCTATGGGGCCAGGGACCGATACGTCGCGTCCGCGCTTTGAGCGGGAAATGCGGCAGAACGCCTCTATAACGAAACTACCTATATTCAACGAAGAATTACAGCTTTACTCGGCCAGGTTGCATTGCAAGCGTTATACGGCGCGCGAGACATTTATAGCGAGGTATTTCGGAGGTCGCGAGAACTTTCGCACTGTATACGAGAAACGGATCTGGCGCCGTAGCCAATTAAACAAAATGTGGCGTTACAAACACCTCCAATCGTCTTTCAATTTCTTTCGGTCTCTTATCTCTCGGCCACTTGGCAACCAACCATTTTTTTTTCGAGTTCCTAAAGTTATACTTCCTGCATAACAGTATTGGTGCATTGCTGTTCATTGCGAGGAGTCGATGCAAATATTTTGATTGTATAATTACTTAATGCTGCAGTGTCGTCGATTGCGCCCGCCTAAATAAACCCAGCCACTGTCAGCGTCTTTGGCGTACAGCTGTAGAATTCTGCTGCTCTTGCCATCTGTCATTTTCGGAGTTGATGGAGACCATGCGGCGCGGCCTATGCGGAGCTCCGTGTGTGTGGCCCGTGTTGCCTAAGTAAATGCACCCTGCTTCCACGATCACTGACGATTCCTAATGGCATCATCCTTTGGTAGGTCTCTGGCAGCCGCCGTCATAATCCGTGAGAGAGAGGCAGGTTTATTTGCAGAAAGGTCGGCCTGATCGATAGTCTGCTACTGTACACCCGGGGAAGGGAAAATTGAGGAAAAAGAGTAATGGATGATGATGGGGAGATAGAGAGTTGGGTATATACAGTCCTTTCCAGCTGAGAAAAATGTTATAGCCGTGCATACGGTCCAGTTGCTTTTTTAAAAAAAAGGCTATAACCGCTCTTATGACCACAGTTGCACTGCTGGTGTCAGGCCAAGGGCCCAACACGGCCTCATCAGTTAATGAGCGACTGCGAAATCGTTTAGTAGAAGAAATCAGAGTTTGTCGTTCACGTTCGTATGCTGGGCAATCACATAATTTGTGATCAAGTGTTTCTGGCTCATCACAGTGTTCACAATCGGGACTGGTGTCACTGCGGCCGATGTTGTGTACGCCACGCCAAGACGAATGTGGTGGATCGTACTCGCGATGTGCCGCTTCAATTTGGGGGACATGCGGAACCTTATTTCCGGGTCCCATTTGTGAATTCGTCGGTGTCGCCGTTCCGGTTTGGCCCAGTGCTCAAGTGTATGGCTGAGCATCACGCAGCGAAGCAGGGCGTTCGTGTCACCTCGTGAAAACGCAATGCGTCTTATACTTCAGGGACACTGTTTGAGGCATTTTTAGCTGCAGCGTCTGCCTCTTCGTTTTCCATCACGCCGCAGTATGCGGGAACCCACTGGAAAGTGATAAGATGGCCATTTGTCTGTGGGCAGTCGCTTTCTCGAAAATAGTCTTTGTAGCAAACAAGCCAAGCAGGAGAGGCCTCAGGAATTTCTCCCAAATGACCGAGATGCCTTCACTGTTGCACCGGCCGTCAATGGATCACTCAAAGGTAGTTCCCCAAAGAAAGCACAGTGGCAGGGGGAACCACGAGCACGTAGTGATAGGTCTATAGTTCGGCAATTTCTATAGCCAGGATGTAATACGGACCTTGCATATTGGTGCAATTAAAAATGTTTTGCAAAGCGGTTTTGGCATTACAGAAAATCATCCAGACTCGAGGTTGCTCTTCAGAAATAAATCTCATTGCCTCCCGCATAGCGACAAGCTCTGCGGCAGTTGATGTGATTTTATGGTCTACCGTAAATAGTTGAGCGATATCCATGTCTGGGATGACAAAGGCTGCCGCGGAGGTGTTTAGTGTGGTGGACCCGTCGATGTACGCGTGCAGAGAATCGCCGTACGTTGTACAAATGTGATATCAGTTGTCTCAGGCCGATAGAAGAAACGAGGGACTTCTCTTCGTAATTCTAGGAATCGTAAAACTTAACAGGTGGTTTAGGCAGGACCCATGGAGGCACTGCAGGAACACTCGGCGGGGAAAACCTTGCTGGTAGAATATTCTCGTGCCGCGACATCGTTCTTGAGAAACTGCTGTCTGCGTGTGTGGCGGATAGTGTTGATATATAGTGAGTGCTGTCTGCGTGTGTGTCGGCTCAGCAGTCGAAGGTGAACTCGTAAGTGGCTCGCAGGGCGTGCATATACACCGATGGGACAAGCCGCGAGCCTCCGCGATGGTTCTATTTGTTGAAGTACAGCGCAGTAGATCTATAAGCATTTTCCCAAGCTTTG